TGTGTGTGTGTGTGTGTGTGTGTGTGTGTGTGTGTGTGTGTGTGTGTGTGCTCACATTCACATATGTATGATATGGAAAGCTCAGGAAACAATTACTCCCATGCTGAGTGTACACCTGGACTGGGCCATGTGCTCACACACACAAACTGTACTACAAAAACATCTCATTACACATGCATGTGTGCACGCACACTCGTGCTCTGCTATGCTTTATTATTCTGGTTGCGGATTTGCACTAATGCTTTCTTCTTTTCCAGCTTTACTAAAGCTTTTCTGCTTCTGAACTTGTCTTCAAACTTAATCTCTTTCTTCCTCTTTTTCTTTTTTTCTCCTCCTTTTATCCCATCTTACTATATTCCATCTTTCCAACCATTTCTGCCCTGTTGCTCCTGTGTCTCTGGGGGTCTTTTCCTTGCCCTTACTTGCTTTTCCTTCAAATCTCCCTCTGGTTTCCTCCCTCCTCGCATTTTCTTCCCTCCATTCTGACTGTAGAAGTATCGGTGTCAAGAAGAGGAAGGGGCATCACCAGGTGCCCCAAAACTCCACCATCACCCCTGCCAGCATCACCAAATGGGAGTAGCCAGAGAGCTGAGGGAAGGAAGTACCCTGGGGAGGGATGGAGGGACCCTGGGTAGGGAGGGAGGAACCTGGAGGAGAGATGGAGGGAGTGCTGGAACCATGGAGAGAGAAAGGGAACGGTCACTAGGGAGGGACGGCTCTCTCGGTCGCCACAATGACCTCCGGGGAGCGGAGCTGGTTCAGGTGGCGGAGCGTCAGCTATCTCAGATTCAACACGTTCATGGATATGTCACTCATACACACATCACGCCTGCTCAGGTAACTAACCCTGGCCGCCTGTCTCTGTGACTTTGACTCTACAACACAGACAAACATAGTGTCATACCTGAAGCTAACACTGTATATATTAATGCATGAGTCAGTTGCTAATGCCTCACATGACAGCTCAGGATTTTGTCGTGTTTGCAGTATCTATAATGCTTTTCTGTATTTATGCAGGCAAAATGATACATAAGCATGAATGCTGCTTTTTCATACTTTTTATGCGCTCTTGACTCTGTACTAAAGGGTCACTTCAGACACATGTTGAACCTGATGTTCAAACCAGTTTAAGAGAGACAGCCAATCAGGAGAAAGTTGACTTAAAGGTCATTAAAGAAGGGAGCTGAAAGAGCTTTTTTCAGACAGCAGATGAACTGAGGGGTTGCACCAAGGTTCAGTGTTGTATAAATCACGACTATTGTCCCTGTGAATCATGCAAAGCTACTCTAGTAAAGTAGGCGGAAGTGAGCATCATGGGTCTCCCTTAATAATTTGGTATAATTCCTATTATTAGGTACATACACAGCAGTGTTTTGTTGGATTGTTTTTGGTTTTTTTCCATTAAGCAACATGTTAAAATTGATTCCAGAGTTCCAGGGTGTGGTTCACATTCTGATCACTGTGTGTTGTTAGTTTTAGGCCACAAAACCATTTTGAGAAGGGCTATGGAGTGAATGCGGTCGTGGCTCACGTTAGTAAAATAAACATATTCATCCCTCCAGCCCTGGTTGATCTTTTCAGTATTTAACCAAGACCACAATATTTTTCAAATGCTTTGAGTTGCCGGAATATGAAAAAGATGTGTTATTCTTGCAGGTTTTGTTTTAAAACAGCAAAAAACGTAGTAAACTGAAAGTCAAGATGGTGCACATAAGTGGTCCGCAGGTGCGCATGCGCTGTCAAAACAAAAGACGCGCACCAGATAAGAAGTTGCAACGCGCATTTGTGTACATAAGATTTTCTGGAGGAGGACAGACATTTGTTTAGAACTCTTAAAGATGTCGAAGAAGCTCCTTTACTTTGGTGTTCCTCCACCTCCAAAGAAATCTCCGGACCGCAAAAGAAGCACGTATTCTCGGAAAAGTGGTTGCAGGAGGTGAGCTGGCATTTGTTTGAAGCCAGCTGTCCCCCTCCAGAAAATCTTATGTACGCAAACGCGTGTTGCAACTTCTTATCTGGTGCGCGTCTTTTGTTTTGACAGCGCATGCGCACCTGCGAACCACTTATGTGCACCCCTGTCTACAGGAATGTATTGTTGGAAAGCTTGAAGTTTTCAAACTAACCTAACCCAAATATTTACAGCAAAAAAAACCTGTTTAATTAGCAGCCATCACATCCCTGATATTCACTGATATTGTCTAAATTGATCTAATATTACAGTCCTATTGTTAATAGGATGATGATCCGCAAAACATATTGAGATTTTACTCTGCAATGGTGTCTCATTACTCTACCCTCTATGTTTGGAGCTGATGACTTTCTGTGGTGCTGGTCAAGGTGATTCAGACAGCTAGAAAGGGGAACTTTTTCTATGACTTCAGAATTAGATGGGCCTCTTTCGAAAGTACTTAGAAGTCACGGATACTGGCCTAAATTTGCTTCCATGCACAGAGCATTTCTTTGTACCAGGAGAATACTTTTGCAGAACTGTGCATGCAGGGGATTCAGTCGAATGCTTGTCCCATTTTTTAGTAATGAGGCCCATTACTATCTCTGTTCTGCACTCACTCTGCGTCTGTCTGCCTCCCCCCGCTTTGTCTTTCTTTCCTTTTTGACGCTCTATCGCTCTCACACACACTCCTAATCGCACCGCGTAGCCTGGTAATCTTTTTATTTTGGTTGATTGGACTGTATCTGTCCACATATTAGTGCTCGCGTCTCTGTACTCGCACAGCTCTGAGAGCACGCTGTTGTGTATTCTCTAACACACACACACTCGTTGGCCACACTCCATGCATATCCATAATGTATATGCTTTTTCCTTCTGCTCTATATTGATGTTCTGTGTATTGTCAGCTTTACTGGTGTCTGGTAAATTATAATTATGGTCTTTTCATTAAATAGACAAAATTATATGCACATTGATAATGACAAATTACTTCCTATCACATTGTAGTAACGAATGTAGGGTTTTTTCACAAGGATAAGCAGATTTTAATATCACTTCTTCACTTTTCTTAATTTCTTTTTTTTTTAACTTGTCCCCATCACTGTCGTCTCCCGCACTAATGCATCCTTTTAAAATTCTGGCATGTGTGATTATCAGTTTATTTTAATATATCAAGTCTTTGTTTTGTCAGCAGTGGTACTGTGTCTGTCTGTGAGTAAGTTGCAGCCGCTCTCAGTGCTGGCAGCCAAAGCTGAGGAGGATGTGTATTAGTGGGGTGTCACAGCTAAGTCATTATATGCTGTAATCTGATTGTCTCTGCACTGACTCAGTTGTCAGTCAGCACAAGTTCAGTATTTGTCCGCTGGGAGATCTTTGGACCAAGCTGAAGCGCTTCATTTTGTCAGCATGATGAAGACACAGTTGTCATGGAGCTCCACCTTGTGGCTGCATGTTCCCTTCTTGTCGTTTTATATTTAAAACTTTTTTTCTGTTCTTGTTGAAATTACACCAATTCTTCTGTTGACTGTAATGACAATCACCAATTACTGCATGCCCCTGCAGATTTAACCAAAGAATTTTGGGCTGCCGTTCTTGCTGGATGCCATCTGCACTTAAGCTCATTCCCCTGTGACCTTCTCTTATGACATTTATCTCCATTTACTTCATGGAGATGCATTCGAGGTCTTGATATCCTGGCCCTTACCACTGCATGGCATCATTATCTGCATTATCATCATTGCTTTCTGCAGAGCGGTCCGTTCCAGCAGCTCATCACCTGTCTGTCTGTATAAAATCTGTAATGGGGAACTATGTGTGTGTATGTGTGTGTGTATTTGGATATTTGGTTTATTTTGAGAACTTCTGCTCTCCAAATGGTGTGTGTTCATGCATGTGTGTCTGTGTGTGTGTGTGTGTGTGTGTGCGTGACCACAGGTGCTGGATCTGGCTTCCTTGTGTATGACAGATGGAGCTGCCATCCTGTTCTCCCCATGTTCACCCCACCACCCCCCTCCACCTTTTTTTCCCTTGTCTTCACACATACACACACACACGCACACACACACACACACACACAGACATACTTTTTTGTGTTTATTATCTCTGATTTATTAATACAATATCTTCCTGTAAATATTCCAAGCTCACAATTTATCATACCTCTTTTTCACCATAATATTAAATTAAATAAACTTAGCACAAAAAGTACAGAAATTTGTGTTAGGTTAGGTTATCGAATCGATTTTAAAATCTCATTGTTTATTTATAAAATCCTAACTAATATGGCACCTGATTACTTAGCGGATCTCCTCTGTCTGTATAGCCCTAAGAGATCATCGGGTCAACTGCTCTTGGTGGAACCGAGGTCTCGGCTGAAGACCAGAGGAGACCGTGCCTTTGCCAATGCCGCACCCAAATCATGGAATAATCTTCATCTTGACATTCACGCATCAGAATCTATTCAATCTTTTAAATCACGTCTAAAAACATACTTGTTTAACCTGGCATTCGAGGCCAATTAGTGTGATTTTCTTCTGGCTCTGGATTTATATTATATAATTATTTTATATCTGTAATTTGTATTTTTATTGTGATTTTATCTGTATCTTGGTTTTACTGGAAAGCACTTTGGTGTACTTTGGTCTTAGAAAGTGCTATACAAATAAATGTGATATGATATGATTGGAAACTTTATTTCCCCTTAAATGAAGCCACATTTTTAAGGACAATGCATTTTTGGTTTGAGCAGAGTTGAGTGTGAGACTTGTCAGATCTTGTCTGTCAATGCCAAACAGTTTAATCTGTTCTGAGATTCTGGTGCCATGACTGGTCTACACCATCAAGCCTTTTTGCGCTTTTGTCGCTAACATGTGCACTAGAACCTGAACATGTGGAGGAATGTTATGTTCAGCGTTGTTACGTCCAGATTCTGACTACAGCAGTTGGATCATAGTGTCAAAGTGATGGTGTGGGGCAGAATCTTCCTCAATGAAAAAACAAGGCGTGTTCTCTAGTGATGGGATTTCCGGCTCTTTTTAGAGAAC